CACACACACACGCTTCTGGCTCAAAGTTAATGGTCAAAAAATTATGACCAGAAAGGCACAGGTCATGGCCAGACATGATGACATTTTTAGCCTGAAGTTTTATAAAAATAAATGTGAAGCTTGGTTTCCACAGGCTTTCATGCCAGATCACAAATTCTAGACCTGCCATTACCATTGGACATCCCTTTAAATCCCCCCCCAAGAATCTATGACAAGCATCTTGATACTCACTTTGATATCTCGGATTGATTGTTCTTTTCTCCATCCACAGTGAATGGAGATGCACCAGTAAGAAGTTCATACATTAATACTCCAAGGCTCCACCAATCAACAACCTGTTTGCAATAAATATTGACAAAAACAAAAAATGGTGTTGATCAATATCACGTGTCTATGAAAAAAGAATAGATGGATAAATGGAAGGATGAAAGAAGTGGCCGATTTCTAATCATATTTGTTATTTAAATTAATTTGAGGTTAATGTTTTCCATGACAATAGAAAACCAGGAAAATTCCAATGTATTGAAAGAAATCTAATTGACTATGAACCATGTTCAGTATATACTTATTTTAATAAAGTTAGTCACCTGAAAAGCTACAAATCTAAGACCAACAAGGATTATGGGTAGATTTATTTTATGTTCTGCTTGATAATTGTTGATGGACTTGAAATCTTTTAGCAGACACAATTTCACCTCCTGTGAGCATCTTCAAGCTGCAGTTTGTATCAAAAGCTTTACTTGTTTAATATGAAATTGTGCTTCCCCTGATTCTCAGCGTTTAGAGGCTTCTAGGTTTTTGGTGACTACCTTTATTGCAATAGGTATTGGTTCTACTCACATTATCATGTCCTTTACTACCACCTTTGACTACTTCAGGCGCCATGTACTCAATAGTACCACAGAATGAATATGCCCTCTCACCCTGTCAACAATAACAAATATCATGATCATTAAAATATATATGCGAGGTTATATGATGACACCAAAACAATGCTAATCATAGGAAAAAATTCCTAACTTCTTATCAGTATTAGACCTTTGGAAATTTAAAATATTCATTTGACAAAACAAATGGATGATTCCTAGTGGCACCAAGCAAGGTACTATTTGAGGTTAGATAACATGCAAAACAAGTTTAAAATGTGCTGTTATGTAATCTGTGAATTTTGATTGTTATATGTCACCTATGAAAAAAAAATCGTAAACATTTCAAAGGGAAGATTGCAGCCAGTATCTTGGCTGCAACGCTAACATGAAAATGCAAAATTAAACTTGTCTTTGTCTCGGTGGAATTTGTGTCATTTCTTTTGTATTTCCATGTTAGCCTCGTATTTAAGAAAATTCAAATAAGGGTCCATTGTGGGCTCTTGTTTCTATGCATATAGTTGCTGATAAGAACTATATATAATCAAGTATGTATGTGATTTTCCAAACATATTTCTTTAGTTTTTGCTGTATGTTTTAAGTGCCACAGGAAACCCATTTAAGAGATTTTAAATTACTGCATTTCATACAGGAAACCTTTCAGTTGCCAATTTTTTGGTTTCACAATATTTCTATCGAAAAGAACAATCAACTATTCTAACTCTTTATCCTAAAACAATGTTAAAATCCAAAAACTAAAAACTAAAACACACAGCATATTGGAGATAAATAAAAAACAAATAGATAAATAAACTGGACCTATTGATATAAGATAATCTTGACATTAAACCAGGAACTCAAAATAATGTCAAAAAAATGTACAATATTTCTAACGAGAATTAGCAAGGACACTAAAAAAAATAACAAGTTCTCACGATTGACATTTTAAATTAATAAACGACTTTTTTCCCTTGACAGCTATAAACCACTTGACAGGCAATACACTGTATATTAATTAATCCCAGAATATGGTAAGAAATAATAAAAGTAATTCAAGATTACGTTTTACTTACAGAATTAGGAGCAGAAAATTCTTTGCTGAGGCCAAAATCCGTCAAGACAGCATGGCCTTCGGAATCCAATAAAATGTTTTCCAGTTTAATATCGCGGTAGATAATTCCAAGCTATGAAAATAAACATATTACATATTATTATAAATTATTTTTTCTCAATAATGTTTTTAAAGCAATGAAATCTCCATCGGGAAATTCTTTTTATCATGATCGAATGAAATCGAAGGAAGTAAGCTTAGATTTATCTTTTTTTATCCAAATTATCCAAATCCAAAGCGATTTTTTTATTCATAATACTTCAGGGATGTATTAAAGAGTAAGCAAATAGGCGGGAATGTTTATAGTCTTTTATTTTTACCATCAATTTACAAAAATAGTCCAAAAATTATCTGTCAACAAAGGTCTGTACACTTAAACGTACTAACCCGGTGTAGATGTTCTAGAGCAATCACAATTTCTCCAATGTAAATACGAACTTCATCTTCCGTGAATTTCTCCCTTTGGTAAAGGTGAGTGAAGAGCTCTCCTCCATTAACGTAGTCTAGGAGAAAGGCAAATAAGGAAATCATGAATATGAAAGGTTTGGATTATTATCTTCCGAATAAATTGGATCGAGTTGTCAATAATGTCTTGCAAAAACTCGTTGCAACACCTCATCACGAACGCTAAAAAAAATAAATTCAATGACCTATAGGAAAGATTTTCTTAAAAATTGCCTTAAAGGAGCTTGATTAGAGACTCATTTTTAATATACTAACCCATGATGAGGTGAAGTTTCGCTTCGGTTTGGAAAGCCCAATGTAAAGTCACTAAGAAAGGGCATCGTCTGACGGCTTCCAAGACTTGTCGTTCTGTTCTTGTATGCTCGGCAGTTTTTGCTTTCTGCACGATCGTCGCTTTCTTCAGCACTTTCATTGCAAACAACTTTCCAGTATAAAACCCCCCGCGTTTGCGGACGAGAAAGACCTTGCCATATGCTGCAGCCAAAAAATACAAAGGACTTTAAATAAGGAAAATGAAACGATACGATCAAACGAGAAAGATCTGTGAAAATGTCACGAACGTGAAGACCTTTGCTTCAATTATTACTCTTTTAACTTCATCTTACCTCCAGTCCCGAGGACTTTAAGGAGCTCAAAGTTCTCTAAGCCAACTTTTTCATCTTGAGCCTCTGTCAAGTTTGCTGGAATAAGACAAAAATACATCATTTATACAAACAAAATAAAGAGAATTTGTTTATAAGTAGCGCGACGATAATACAGGTCTTCCGTTTGAAGCTCTGAAGATAATCAAGCCAAACAACGAGAGAAAATCGACGGACTTACTCTGTTGAACATCGAGGTGAACAAATCCTGAATTTCCAAAGCCATTGTTCGTCATCTTTAGCTTTTGCAAGCTGAAGAATGAAGGCTTTTCGAGCCTTTTTGAATGGAGAAAGATTTTATGTTTTGGCCGACATTGGAGTAAGATTTGTGAAGCCTTTGGTCGATTTGATCTACTCGTCGTCTGATTGGCTAATATTTTGTTATGTCGGACTCAACCACGTGACTTTATGCAAAAAATTTGCTTTCCCTTCAAGGGTTCCTAATAAAAATCCCAATTTCTAACAAACTTCCTTTAAAATCAATCAAAACTTCATCCATAAAAATACTAAAGACCATATGATTAACGCAGTAATAAAATAATTTCGCAGGAAGGAATGTTTTGAAAAATTGCGGCCCAAAATCCGCGCCTAGAATATTCCATTTGAAAGCACAAATTGATATCCGGGTTCCCTGTGTTTTCCCTCCAGAGCCTGAAATAATGCCCAATTAAAATATTCACAGTAGGAAAGCTGTTTAATTGAATGCTTTTTAAATAATGAAATATTTCTTAGACTTCCTCAGAAAGAGTTCCATAGTTCCATTTTATTCCAAATTCAAGTCTTACAGGTTGGCGGGTGTTTTGAGCTGCACAGGTTAAATTTAGAATTTTTTGAACTCTTTAAAACTTGCCAAATATGTAAATATATATTGAGGGAGGGAAGGTGGGGGAAGGAGTGGTGG